GAACCCCTGGCTCCGCGCGATCGTGGTGGTGTTTCCGCGCTTCATCCCGTGGGGTTTGTAGCCTGGGTTGCGTGCACCGATCCGCGGGGGATTTTTGGAGTTTCGGCTGGGGATTTTTCGGATATCGGTCGGATCTAGCTGGATCGCCTGTTGGCGAGAGACGGAGGTAGGTTGCTTGGGTCCGTCCTGCTGTGATTCGTGGGAGAATTGGAGATTCGCGTACGGTTCTGATTCTCGCCTGTGAGATTCCCTCTATGGAGGTGGATAGGTTAGGGCAATTTTGTTTTGTGCGGAAGCGCGAACTTGAGTTTTACATGAGAGCCGTATACTAGAAATAGTTAGATCATGTAATCTTGCCTATATAGATGTTTCAACTGTCTCTCCTCCCAAGGGGAGAGTGGGTACTGGGTAGTTGGCAAATAATATTTAAACTGGTCAGACATATCAAATGGAGTCAGTAGAAAGACTTCATTTTATCATGTAAACAGGATGTGATGTTGGTTATATAATCTTGGTTATGTAGATAATTCTGATTTTATATCTTGCTGGAATCTCCATCCCTAAAAGTACATGATAGTGGTATTGGAGTGTATCAAGTGTTTTTATGGTGTGTTTTATTCTCTTACTGATTCAGTACAAGAAGAGAAGAATAATTAGAACAGTTACCTCAATTCAAAAGTAAATGAGATGAATGGTTAATAAAAACTATATTACAGAATCAGAGTTATTTTGGAATGTGGATACTTGCAACTTAAAGTCATGAGATTTGTCTTTTGCAACTGCTTTTCCCTGAGTAGCCTTTGCCAGGTTATTTAATTTATTGGTTTTATGCTTGTCATATTTGTTAATTGCGGAAGGGACTGATGGAGTATTTTCTTAATTTTCAGGAGATGCCTCGTTATGATGATCGTTATGGAAACGCACGCTTGTATGTTGGTAGATTGTCCTCCCGTACTCGTTCGCGCGACCTAGAATATCTTTTCAGCAAATATGGAAGGTAATGACAATACTGCACATTAAGAGTTTGGCAAAAGCTTTCTGGTGTAACAGACTTTTTTTTACAAGCTTTCCAACTTTTTTTGTGAGGGCACAAGCTTTCAACTTGTGAATATGGTTCTGCACAAATTCGAATGTGCTTTTCTAGGGTTGTGAATCACCATTATTGGACTAGTGCTTGTTAGAATAGTTGACACCGTAAGTACTTAGGCCCAGTTCTTTTGACAGTTTATAATGGCATAAGCCGCTCCCTCCCAGCTTATTCTAGAATCGCCCCTCCTCAGTTTATTCTAAAGCCTCCCCCAAATTGTTTTGGGGCTTCTAAGCTAGGTAAGGTTTAATTAGTTTAGAAGCCCCCAAAAATTTTAGGGTTGGCATCTAGAATAAGCTGGGGAGGGGGCAGATTATTTTGGCAGCCACCAAAAATAACTGGGCTTTAGTATAGTTTAAATTTGGTCAAATAATTTAGGCTGTTCGTGTCTTAAACTTTTTGAACTGTAAGGTGCATGTCTTCTGCTATATAGAGTGAACCAGTCAGTGTTCTTGGATTTCTTCCTGCCCTTGTTTTTCCTGGGTGGTTTATACAAGCTGGGTTCACCAGTAGTCTTTTCAAGCTAGTTTTTGGTGTTATCTGTTATTTCTCCATGTATGCTGTGAAATTGGACTCCCAGGTCCTGTGTGTTTGAATGGTCTTGTTTGAGTGTTTTTTGGTTTATAGCAGCTGTTGGGTACCCTATTGGTGTTTCCAAACTAGTGTTTGGTGTTCTCTGTTATTTCATCTGTATGCTGTAGATGTTTGACTCCCAGGTCTTGTGTGCTTAACTTAAATGATCTTGTTGAAGGTTTTTCCGTTTTTAACACAATCCGGAAGGTATGTGGTGGAAGGGTGCCCTTGGTGGAATTGGTGGCCATTGTTCCAAAGTTTGTGGAGGACTTTGGCGAAGGGTGCCCTTGGTGCTTGGTGTAATGTTATTGACTGTTTTAGTGGAAGTTACAAGATGGTGATGCATTTGAGTACTTAAGTCCTGACGGCTTACTGTTTGTGGCAACCGTTTGCGCAGAATACGGGAAGTGGAATTGAAGCGCGACTATGCATTCATTGTATGTGAATTTTACTCTCCTCAACCTTATTTATGCTCTTTAAAGTTGTTAGCATACTTAAGACCTATTTTGTTCACATATGAGGTACACTGTTTGTTTTGCCTGTTCTTGTCTATCTAACAGGAATACAGTGATCCTCGTGATGCTGATGAGGCCCGATACAACCTAGATGGCAGGGATGTTGATGGGAGCCGCATTATTGTTGAGTTTGCTAAAGGGGTAAGTTGCCATTTGGGCAGTCCACTTTGTGGGCATAATGATAATGGTATTTTTTTGTCCTTTATGAAGCTACTAGAAACTTTGTTGTGTCATCCCTTACGGTTTATGTGTTCAGGTTCCACGTGGTTCTGGTGGTTCACGAGAACGTGAATATGTGGGAAGAGGGCCTCCTCCAGGAACAGGCCGTTGTTTCAACTGTGGTATTGATGGTCATTGGGCCAGGGACTGCAAAGCTGGTGACTGGAAGAACAAATGCTACCGCTGTGGAGAAAGGGGCCATATTGAAAGAAATTGCCAGAATAGCCCGAGGAGTCTCAGGTATGGATTTATAAATTTGTTAACCTCCATCGCGATACTCTAAATGGCCTGAAATGTTCTTCTATCTCAGTACATGAGAGTTCTTATTTAATCTTTTGTTAATGGATATGTTTTATTAGGCGTGAGAGAAGCTATTCACGGTCCCCATCTCCACGTCGTGGACGGGCTCGCAGTCGGAGCTACAGCAGAAGCCGTAGTTACAGGTATGCTGAGCAACCCACCTGCAACTCTTGGGCTTTTTACTCAATAGTTCTGTTTTCTATTCTGTTTTCTCATATTTCCTCCTGCAATCAGCCGATCTAGGTCCAGATCCTATTCTGAATCTCCCAGAGGGCGCCGCACAGAGCGTGATGAGAGGAGATCAAGGAGCATTAGCTACAGCAGGAGCCCCAGGCGATCACTCTCCCCAGGAGGCAAGGAAATGGATCGCAGCCCCACACCTGATCGCAGTCGGAGCCCCAGGCGATCCATCTCACCTGTAGCAAAGGATAATGGTGATAGCCCTCGGGGCAGGGAGACAAGCAGGAGCCCATCTGATGGCTACCGTAGCCCTGTGGCCAATGGGCGCAGCCCAAGAAGCCCTGTTAACAATGGCAGTCCCAGTCCTACCAGAGACAACAGGGCCAGTCCAAGCCCGAGGGGCAACAACGGTAGCCCTAGTCCTAAGGGCAATGGCAACGGTGGCAGCCCAAGTCCAAGGGGCAATGGTGACGACGATGGACGTCGAGGCTCAGGCTCACCTAGAGGAAGAAGCGTGTCTCCATGAAACATGGAACCATTTTCCAGTTTCTGCTTGCTACATGTGGTTGTGACAGTACATTTCAAGTTTAAGACGTTTGTCAGTGAATTTCCTATCTGTTTGCTGAACCTGTTATTTAGTTCCTGGACGCCTCGAAGGTTTGTTACTCTGGTTGTTATGTTGTGCGTAATGGATTGATAATACTAGTATTAAGTAGCAATATGAATATATGGTATCACTCTGTGACAGCCTGTGGTTGAGGTTCGTCTCTGTTTGGAGTCACCGAAAAGTCCTGATGAGTAGCAAAGAGCGACGTGCAAACGCCTTAATCACGCACTGGACTGAACATATTTCATTTCACAACTGTGCATCTTAGAATTCATTACCGCCCCTCGCATTTATACCTCCCAAAATGCATTATCGTCCCTTCTGGGCATGGACAATGGTGTTATTTTAGGAGCGTCACAAATAAATGTTAAGGTGGGGAAGAAAAAAAATCATAAGGAAGGCTGGTCTTCTTTTATTTAATGGATGATTTTTTAGTATAATATGTCTCATCACGCTTTTATAATAGCTAGTTATTGAAAATAAATAACTGCTACACACGACACAGTATGGGACGATATTTGGACGATGCAGCACATCAAGCCGTTGATGTGTTGAGCAAAACTGGGTAGCACGGTTGAAACCTTCAACGTGTGGAGTTCGGCCGGCAATCGTCTGCATAGTACTCCCTTCGTTCTTAAATATTTGTTTTTTTAGAGATTTCAATAAGTAACTATATACGAAACAAAATGAGTGAATTTACACTCTAAAATATATATCTGTATGTGGTAGTCTATTTGAAATCTCTAAAAAGATAAATATATAAAAACGGAGGGAGTATTTGGTTGAGGATAAAATTAAGAGACAACTATTCATGCTTTTATTGCCATCTTTAAATTACATGCAATATTTAAGATTAGACTGATTTATCAACCATTGTACATGTCTTTAGAATGAATTATCGCAGCTCACATCATTCAGATCCAACATCATGATGGTGATGGATTGCGAGCTTGTTCTGTGTGGGATGATACTCTAGTCGAGATTGCTTTACCAATTTGTCAATTGCGATCTTCAAAGCTTGGTATGGCGAGGATGTTTGCATGTGTCATTGTTCTTTGTTGTTTATTCAGTGCAATTTTCAAGCTCTTTTAGTGGTCGTTCTATGCCCAGTTGTCTATTTATTATCGTTCCACTGCTCCTTCGTGCAAAGTAGGCGGGTCCCGCCGGTACCATCATTGCCATCAGGAAAGCCCTCCTTGATTGCGAGAAGCCTTCTAGTTAGCGCTTCAATTGAGAGCGTGCCCCATTTCACCAAGGTTTCGATGGAGATGACCATCTACGAGTACCTCGCCGGCACAATGCGCGGGAATTTTCCGTTAGCTCTTCAATTGAGAGTGTGCTCCAGTCCACCAAGGTTTCGATGGAGATGGCCATCTGTGAGTACCTCGCCGACACGACGCACAGGAATTTTCTGGTAGCTCTTCAATTGAGAGCGTGCCTAAGTCCACCAAGGTTTCGATGAAGATGGCCATCTGCGAGTACCTCGCTGGCACGACGTGCGGGAATTTTCTCACCGCGCGCTCGCTGGCGATCTCGTCTCTGAGCACCTTATTGACACCAGATTTTGGCATGGTTGAAAACATAATTAAGAAGGCCTCAAATGGACAAGTGCTCAAATTGAGAAAGTTCCGTATCGTCAAAAGGAGAAATTTTCATATTTGGGCCATAGCCATCTGGTCTCATCTCTAAGGCCGAAGTTGTGTTTGAAGTACTCAAATTTTATATTCAGAACACTATTCGGCCTATTACGCCCCCAAGATGGCCTCATATGAGAAAAGTTCCTATACAGATTGTCTTCGTCTCGTCGAAACGATCGATTTTTATATAAGAAACGTCTTAATCGAAGTTCGTATGCAAAAGTTACGGCCGAAAATGCATGGCTGCATCAGGATGGCCGGACACTCCGGGAATGATCATCCGGGTTTTGGATTTCTCCGAGGATGGCCGGACACTCCGGGGATGTTTGTCCGGGTTTTGAATTTTTTTGCCGCAGGCTTCGGAAAACAGACGAAAACTCTCTCAAGATGACCTCTGATCAAAATACGTTCAACATAAAAGTTGTTCGTCTCGTCGAAACGGTCAAGATTGCTTTTGGGCTTGTTTCCATCCAAGATCGTTTACCACCATAAAAAAGACCCGCAAGGTGTAGCCAGTTTAAACCGAACAGTTTTGGAAAGTTCGGACAAAACCAATCCGAATTTGACTAGGGTTTTGGACGTGAATCCAAGCCTTTTTCTTGCACGGGAAGTCCAGCCGCCTCTTATATATCTAAGGGGTGACGGCCGATTGAACAACACACAATCGATCAAATCATCTACCACTTTTTATCTTTTATCTTTTCTCCCTAACCCCATTTCTTCTTCTTCCTCGTTCTTCGTTTGTTCTTCTTGTTGCAGGGCGGCGAACTTCGAGGCCCTAGGGGCGATCAGGTCGACCTAGGGCAGCCCATAGCCGCCGCGCCCTGACGGGGTCCCTCCCGGGCGTGTGGGGTTTCGAGTCCTCAAAAGCACCCGCCGGATTGTCTTGCGTACCGCGCTTCCGGACGGGTCTCCTTCGACGCGAGCTGCGGTGCATCACCCTCGGCGTTGGAGGTGCACGGTGACGTGTTCGTGTGCGAACACACTTTTTGGCGACTCCGCTGGGGAGCGAAGCTTTGAACGGTCTCCAGCCTGTTCTTGCTACGAAGAGATCGTCATCTAGGGTTTGCAATCTACAAAGGTAATATGAATACCCAATTCCCTACTGTAGATGCAAATAATTCATATGGTGTTACTAGATTGTTCAATGAGTATACTCTATCGGCCAGCCCTAGTTTGTTCAATCATGCATCTAATTACGTGCATAGGCCGATTCAAAGTAATTTACATGCTTTAACTTTTTACGATACTAGTAACATGCATCATATGTATCCCAACTCTCATGCATCGGCAACCCCACAAATTGTTATGCCGATGAACAACATGGTGAGTTTGGTTAATAAATTTGAAACACCTCATGTTAGGATTTCCAATGCCATGCAAGAAAGTGTTTCACCCTTTTATTCATCGGCAAGTAATGTGCAATATACTAATCCAACCATGCTGATGAACGAGAGAATTGGCCATGCTACTACTAGCTATTCGGCCAGTTATGCCCAACCGTCATATGCTACACCTCATGACAATAATTTTTCAGCACCATACACAACTGTAGATGTTCATAATTCGGCTTCCGACCTTCCTGGTCATAGCCGAATGAATGTAAATTTTACAGGAGCGGCTGTGCGCAATATTGTAGAAGATGAGGTAGTGGTGGCTGCATTGAAGAGTTTAGCCCAAAATAAGAGGATTAGTGCTCTTTGCCTTGAACACCATGAAAAGGGGCTATTTCCTGATTATACCGCAATAAAAGCTAGAGTTTTGCAAGAAGATGAATCTTTGCCAATTGATAAAATTGGCGAGCAAAAATATGGTTTTACAACAATGCATATGCCTTCACCTAGTACTACATCATATTATACACCCCCACTATTGCAAAATTTCGGTAACAACCATGTGTTATTGCCGAAAGAATCTAAAAGCATTGGGGGGCAATTGTATCCGGAGTGGGATGAAATTGAGAAAAAGCTTAAAGCCAACTTTGCCGCTCTCCGTCAGAAACAAATAGAAAAAGAATTGGCTCAGATAAAAGAAGGATGATTCGGAACTTGAAACTGCTTCGGTTGAAAAAGCCAAATCAAGTAGTATATATTCTGAATCCATCAAATCCAAAGAGGCAAGCATTATTCAGAAAGGGCATGGCAAGCATAGCAAAACAACCGTGCTTGATTTTTCTGAAGTTAATGGAACCTACTTCTTGCCCTGTGAGTTCCGTGCCGTAGAAATTGACAAGCCTCAAGGACAAGAGCAAGTGGCCAAACAAAGTTCGGCTGATAAGGATCTTCAAGGTAATGATTCATGGAATAAAGAAAAATATGATGAAGAGGCGTTGGGGAGCCACCCAAAGATGAAGCAAGATATTGTTCAAGCCACACCACTATCATGCTCTCCCAACATATTTGAAGAGGTATGTTCAACAAGTAATTTACCTATTTTCAGATTTGGTCAAAACTTTATTGTTAATGCATCCATCAGAAAAATCTTCTTAAGTAATTTTGAAAGACCAATGAAGAAGGGTAATTTACTTGTTAGCAATAAAATTGTTATGGAACATATCGGTCAACCCATTGCGCCATTTATAAAGACCGACAATGACTTATTGTTACAGCCAAAGCTTTCCCCATTGCTTTATATAATGTTCATATCTAGTTGGGTAGCTTTGCTTATTTCGTACTTGGCTTGCACTTGGTCTCAACTGAGACATGTATGTTCTAAATATCTTCGTTTCAGAAATTTAAAGCCAAGGTTAAATTCTATTGAGAAAACCGATGCTAATATAATATCTTATCGAAAGACATCGGAGATAGAGTGGGAAACACAATGCATAGCCGAATGGGGTGATGCAAAATCTGAACCGTTCGTTTGCTTAACTCCAAAGCCGTTCTCACAAGAAGATCGGCTAGAAAATAAAAAATTACCTTCAATTCCAATATGTGTGATCAAATCTTTGATTTGTTGTTGAGAAATAATTATATTAGAATTCTTGATCACCATGTTGAGCCATCTGTCCAGGGACGAATGTATTGTAAGTTGCATGATTCGTCCAGGCATAATTTTGAGGATTGCGACATGTTTCGTCAAATAATTAAATCGGCCATTGATAAAGGACGATTGAAATTGGTTGAGACACCAAGAGATGACCAGTCTATTCTGATTGGTCCCGATGGCAGAAAGTTTTTGCATTGGCTGCTTCAAGCCGATCAACTTAAAGAGAAGGTAAAAACTGCAGGTGATGAGACCAAGCTTTCAAGTAAAGAAGTTGTTGAAGAGCATAATGAACAT